TATATATATATATATATATATATCGTTTCTTGTTTCTTTTACTTCATTTCTTAAATTCTGTACATCATTTATTAACATTTTAATTCTTCTATATATTCACTTATTGACATATTAATTTTTTCTTATTTCTAACTCATAGGTTAATTTGCATCTTTTATCTTCCTTTTTATTTATTATTTTTCCAAATCTTCCCTCAGTTGTATCTGGATCTACTAATTCTTCTTTTACTATAGTAAAATATCTACTCTCAAGTCTTAATTTTTCACATCTTAATTTTATTAGTTGTCTGTTATTTGATATTCTCATTCCTTCTGATATTAACATTATATTTCGTATTTCTTCTTGTATTTTTTCCATTTTTATAAGTAATTTATTTAATTTTAAATGCGTATTATTACTTGTGCTCATACTTTTCTTTATAATATAAATTATTTTCTTCATCTTCACATATATTAATAATCTTTTCATATGTATATACATCTTTTATTTTTTCTATTATTAATTTTTCTAATATTTGTTCTCTTATTTCTTTAGGCAGTTCTTTAATTATTATTAGTATCATTATTTTTAATTTATTATGAATAAGTTTTAAAAATATATAATTGTCTCTTTCTTCTTCTAAATGCCAACAATTATCTATTTTTCTTATTTTAATCTCCACGATCTCTATGGCTCTGATACCAATAAAATGATGCTACTTAGAGCGTACAAAAATAAATAAATCAAATCAATTGGTAATATATTAAAATTCAAGCAGTATTTAATTTTTTTAGGACTAAAATGAATTTTTTAATATTTTATTAACTTATTATGTAATATTATAAAGGGGGTATTTTAGGTATCAAAATTAGTCAAAGGTTATTTTGAAAAAATGACCTCTTTATTTGGGTCATTTCCATGTATTTCCCCATAAATAGGGTGTGGCGGCGGAAAATTACGAGAATACCACAAAAGATGGTGTCAAAATGATTGTAATTAAAAAAAAATGACTGTAATAATTTTTGGACTTTCACAATCGTCTGGTCTGTTTTAATTTGATAAAAATTATAAATTCTATAAAATATGTAAAAAAAATTGAAAAGTTGATAAAGTTTTAACAAAGTTTAGTTCGATTCTTATTATAGTTTAAGAAAATATTATACCCTTGTGTAGAATTTCGAATTTGACTTTTATAATTTGTGTTTAACACGGTAATAGAGTTGATTATTTTGATTGATGATGATACCTTGTTAAATTAACTAAAAAGGTAAAATCATTAAGATGAAAGAATCACGCAATGAAAATGACAGAATAAGTTTGGTTAATAGTTTTTACCTCGGATCACGAGGATACCATGCCAAAAATAATAAAAATAAAAATAAATCTATCTTACAAAACATTGGAGAAGAACATTCTGATAACTTGTTTTAATGATAATATCACACGTTAGACACATATAAATTATTTGAATTTTACTTGGGCTAAGAGGTTACAAAAAAAAAAAATGTTTGAACGATATTAAATGTTGATTATTTAAAAATCTAAAATCGATAGTTGTGGTAGAATCAATTGGTATTCAGTTATAAAAATCTTATATCAGTTAAAATTTAATTATAACTGAATCAACAGCATATGCGTCTTAATGCCTTTGATCGTCTAAAATGATAAGTAAGCCTATCTGAAATATGTTGATAATAAATGGATAATAATTAAATGTGTGATAGAAATTAAATGTTTAACCTTTATTGATAAAAAATATAAACTATTAGTAACTTTTTAGAAAACTAGTTTTTTTGCTCGTGCAATGCACGGGATGTGATATTTTGAAGGGTTTGTTAGCATCTTGAATGTTAAGGATTGATGAGAGATTGTATTACAAAATTTTCACACACATTTGTATAAAAGAAATAATGTTTTATAAAGATGTAAGGGCCAATGAATTACAAAACATTTAAACAAAGAAGGAGAAGGAAACGTTATGGAAAAGGCATCAGAGGAAGTTCAAATTTACAAGAGGAGAACAATTTGTGTTACAAGCTTGAATACAACAATGTACTTCAAAAAATACTTTCATTGGGTTTCTTTTCCATTGAATTGACATAGAAATGAAGCAAAAGCTACATATATAATTAATAAAAAACATAGATGCAAATTGCAATAATTAGAAAGAGGCAAAAAATCAATCATTGAGTAACAACCTCGAAATCAACTGCGACCTTGGATACCATTGGGATAAACGTAGTTTATGTAAAGGTTAATAAAGAATTTAAGCCATCTAGCTACAAAAACAAAAGAATGTAAGGGCCAGAAGATTAAGTATACAATATGGAAATTAGAAATGCAAAATGTTATATTATTTAATGCAAAGTACAATTTCACGGAGGACCTTACCTCTGCATTGATTGTCATGTAGTTCGAAGCAGGCTTTGTGCAACCATTCATATGGGGATTATTTTGTTGTAAAAAAGTAAGATTGAATTTCAAAAAAGGTAGAGCTTTCACTTTGTACATAAAACCTCATAAGATGTGAATGAAAGTTTTTATGAGAACAATAATAAAGTGGTTGACATGATGAGACACATAATTGGTGTAGAATGTGGAACTGTTTAACGTCTTCCATGCTATATTTTAGAGAATTCTGCAAGAATCTTTGAAATGATTGCATGGAGAACCTTAATTAGTTACACATTTTAAAAAAAAAATTAATTATTTAATTAAGATGATTATGATTTATATAAATAGCTACCTATCACTGTCTATGTATTTTCAAAATGTGCGATGATGAGCAACTCGATACTTGAAAGCATAGTGTAAGGTTTTATAGGAAGGACACGTTTTAAGGTTAGGGAAGAAATTAGAGAAAATGACAATTATAATAGCAGTGCAATAA